GGTCAAACTCTATGCTTAAAAAACTTGACAGCGTTCTTAAAATTAATGCACATGAACAATTAATGGATTGCAAAATAACACTTAATAGGTCACTGGTAAACTTTAACTGTAAGTTTCCTGGGCCATATCAGTTTATCTTTCAACTGATTTGCCTGCCTCTTATGTCCAAAATGCTGGTCATTCAAATAAGTACAATTTCAAGATCCACCTCTTTCATCTATGCCCCTTTACATGTACGATGAAGGCAATCTTATATTCAATACTCTGAAGGTTTTGAGTACAGCAATTTAACTGTCACTCACAAGTAGAAGGTGAATCTGCTTGAGAAATTGCCAAAATACACAAAAAATAAGTCGATTAGAATTTGGCTTTCTAAAACACCTTATAATTGTTTAGGAGCTTACACAAGAAAATTCAGTGTCCTCCTAACACAAAAACCCCTATTTTTCCGAAGTACCAAAAAGCTGAAAGCATTAAACCGTAACCTCATCTGAAGATCTGACCTACAAATTTTATTTTATTTTTTGCACAGGTGTGAATTCAATTTAGTTATTTGTGCTGTTAATACAAATTCTATATATAAATTGCTATTGTTAATAAAATTACAAGAACTTTCACTTATATTTTTTGCTTTAGTTTGTGAAGGCAGTGTAGCAGCACTGTTAGCCTACTGTTAGGGTATGTCTACACTTACCGGGTAGTTCGACGGCTGGCAATCGAAGTTCCGGGTTCGATTTATCGCATCTGGTCTGGACGCGATAAGTCGAACCAGGAAGTGCTCGCCGTCGACTGCGGTACTCCAGCTAGACGAGAGGAGTACCGCAGAGTCGACAGGGAGCCTGCCTGCCGCGTGTGGACCGCGTCTGAACCGCGGTAAGTTCGAAGTAAGGTATGTCGAATTCAGCTACGTTATTCACGTAGCTGAATTTGCGTACCTTACTTCGACTTGGGGGGTAAGTGTAGACCAAGCCTAAGTAGGCAATGAACCAATATTATTATTATTTATCATTTGTATTATCATTGTGCTTAAGAGCCCTAGTCTTGGACTGGGGTGCCCCATTGAGTTAGGTGCTGCACAACTACAGAACAGAAAGATAATCCATGCTCCAAACAGTTTTCTATCTAAGTATTGATACCTCTCAAAGAGGTGTCTTATCAGGAATACAATTAACATGTTACACTATCACATAAACATCCCAACAAATCCCTTGTAGTCCATTTAGCATAACAGACCAACTATCAGACTGGGGAATAAAATGAAGCAATACTGACTAAACTTCTTCAAACTATAAAGCTCTAACATTTATTTTTCCAGTAAAGTATTTTTACCAGAAAAATTGTCTCTTCATTCCACACTCTCTTCTTGAACAAATAAATCAGTATATAGTAGGGGTGTCAATTAATTGCAGTTAACTCACACAATTAACTCAAAAAAATTAATCGCAATTCAAAAAATTAATCGTGATTAATCGCAGTTTTAATCGCACTGTTAAACAATAGAATACCAATGAAATTTATTTAATATTTTTGGATGTTTTTCTACATTTTCAAATATATTGATTTAAATTACAACACAGAATACAAAGTGTTCACTGCTCACTATATTATTTTTATTACAAATATTTGCACTGTAAAAATGAAAAAAGAAATAGTATATTCACCTCATACAAGTACATAATGCAATCTCTTTATTGTGAAAGTGCAACTTACAAACGTAGATTTTTTTTTGTTACATAACTGCACTCAAAAACAAAACAAATCCAAACTTTAGAGCCTACAAGTCCACTCAGTCTACTTCTCGTTCAGCCAATCGCTAAGACAAACAAGTTTGTTTACATTTATGGGACATATGTCTTCTGGAATGGTGGTTGAAGATGAAGGGACATATGAATCTTTAGCACATTTGTCACGTAATTATCTTGAGATGCCGGCTACAACAGTGCAATGAGAACGGCTGTTCTGACTTTCAGGTGACATTGTAAACAAGAAGCAGGCAGCATTATCTCCCATAAATGTAAACAAACTTTTTTGTCTGAGTGACTGGCTGAACAAGAAGTAGGACTGAGTGGACTTGTAGACTCTAAAGTTTTACACTGTTTTATTTTTTAATGCAGGGTTTTTTGTACATAATTCTTCATTTGTAAGTTCAACTTTCATGATAAAGAGATTGCATTACAATACTTGTATGAGGTGAATTGAAAAATACTATTTCTTTTGTTTTTTACAGCACAAATATTTGTAATCAAAAATAAATATAAAGTGAACACTGTACACTTTGTATTCTGTGTTGTAATTGAAATCAATATATTTGAAAATATAGAAAACATCCAAAAATATTTAAATAAATGGTATTATTATTAACAATGCAATTAATCGTGCGATTAATTTTTTTAATCGCTTGACAGCCCTAATATATAGTAATACTTATCATCATAATACCTACCTCTACATATGACAAAAGCCATTTAAAATTGGAGAATTGAGCCCTTCTAAACAGTAGGATTTTTTTCCCTAAAATTTCCCACCATTGCAACCACCACTGTGCCATTTGTGGTAACAATGGTGGGCACACTAGTGTAGAAAATGTACCATATCATGTTGATTCATCCTGAACTGGGTTAGACATCGTGGTACTTAAAATACTGGTGGTTACCTGGAGCCCTGTCCACACTAGCAGTCCCTCTACAACAGAAGTGGGCAAACTATGGCCCGTGGGCCACATCCTGCCCACCGGACCGTTCTGCCTGGCCCCTGAGCTCTTGGCCCGGGAGGCTAGCCCCCTGCCCCTCCCCTGCTGTCCTCCCTCCCCCGCAGCCTCAGCTCACTCGCTCCGCCTAAATGGTCTGGGCAGCAGAGCTGTGAGCTCCTGGGGCAGTGCAGCTGCAGAGCCCGGCCTGACCCAGTGCTCTGAGCTGCGTGGTGGTGGCGGCGGCGGCGTGGCCCGGCTCCAGTCGGGCTGCACGGCTGTAGCGCCGCCAGCCACCAGTGCTCCAGGCAGCGCGGTAAGGGGGCACGGAGCAGGGGGGGTTGGATAGAGGGCAGGGGAGTTTGGGATGGTGGTCAGGGGGCGGGGATGTGGATAGGGGTCGGGGGGAACAGGGAGTTGAATGGGGGCAGTCAGGGGACAGGGAGAAGGGGTGGTTGGATGGGGCAGGGGTTCCGGGGGGGGTCCATCAGGAATGAGAGGGGTTGGACGGGGCTTGCGGAGGTCCGGGGCTTGCGGAGGGCCGGGGGGGGGCAGGGGGGAGGGGGAGGGGGGGGGGGGGGGGGGGGGGGGGCGGGGGGGGGGGGGGCAGATAGGAGGTGGGGGCCGGGCCAGGACCCTCTCCCCTAACTGGCCCTCCACACAATTTACGAAACCCGATGCGGCCCTCAGACCAAAAAGTTTGCCCGCCCCTGCTCTACAACTACCATTAGCAGAATTAAACTGCTTGTAGTAATGGTGGAAATTTTTACAACGAAGATGTAGTGTAGACACATAGGAGAGGCTACTGCCTGGTTTGCAGCCATGCACCCTTTGTACAAAAAGTACCCCAGGAAAGTAACAGCCCTATACTCTGTATTATGCTATAATACTTTAGGTCATTATTATAGAATAATTGTACATAGTGAGAGGACACACCTCAAAATTATTTGCTTGTGGGACTCTCCTTTTTTCAAAAACAGTGAACTGTTCTGGCAATTATGTGCCATCAATAGGCATGTATAGATATAGTCCTCTCTCTTCAACCCCCCGTTTAAGTAACTAGGGTTCTGATCCTGCAAATACACATGAGAGTAGCTTTACGGATGTGAGTTGTCTCCAAACTGAATGGGACTGCTCAGGTGCCTAAATACACGCAGGATCAGACTTTACTTACATTACTCACTAATCTCTCTTCTTCACCACAGCACCTCCTGCTATCTACTGTACTGCTAGCCCATCCCCAGCAGCTCAGCATTCTCGGAGTCCCCTGACACAGGATACCAGGCACAACAAACTCACACCAAAAGGGACTGAACAAACTGGAAAGACCTTTTCACCCCTTTCCTCACTCACCAAAAAAACTTGTTTGTTGATATACTGTTGTGGTTTACAAAAGACTATTCTAAAGGTACTTACTGTCATCCCCAATGCCATCTCCCCCCAGCTGCCCCTCATTACCATTGCCAAGTCACTGTAGTGATGGGCACTAGAAATTTGGATGCAGCACTCTCCTAAAGCCCCATCAATCGCCATTTCCACACACACCATTACCCAGCACCTACCCTATTCCCATCCCAATATCCAGCCCCCAACCCTCACGCTATCTCCTATCCTTATTCCCCTCACTGCCCATCCCCAGCCTCCCCTTCCCATCCCAATCCCCCTCCCCAGTCCTCCTCACTGCCC